AGATCCTAGGACATTAATAACATTTTCACATTTAAGATTCTTGATTGTCTATAGTTAATGTTTATTTATTTCAAGCAATTTTGAAATATGTATTACAAGTAGGTTTATACTATTAAATATTTATACTATTAAGTTTTGAAGAACTCTCAAAAGCATGTGTACAATTCATTATTACTGGTAAAGAAAACCAGAAGGTATGAACAAAGTTGTCCATGCACAATGAATAATTTCCTTATAGTTCCAGAAAGACTTAGTTATATCATGGACAAAAGTAAATGTGTTATGAAATAATGGCTAATTATGATTCTCTGTGCCACAGATGGTTTCTCACTGCCACTTGAGCCTACATCAAGTCTGTCCCTCATGGCAACAAGAAAAAAAAAGGAGGGGGGAGGGTGCAGTGCAAGAATCCTGAGATTAATCACGGGAAGTAAACTGCTATGTCTGTAGCAATAACAACATGGAGATATTATTTGTTCATTTAAGGGACAAAAGGGGAGAAGGTACGGTAAAAATGTAAAATTGAATGTAAAAGAAATGAAGGGTGTAGAAGCATAAATGAAAAAGTAGAAAAAGGAAATAAGAAAGCTCTTCCAAGGATCAGCCTTTTTCTACATTTCAAGAAATCGTCCTACAGAAGGTAAAGGCAGTATTTTTGCAAGAGTAGAAAAATAAGATCAGGAATTTCAAATAAAGGATAAAGTACGTATAAATCCATGATTTCTGATTTCATTGCAAGGGTTCTGAATGCTATTCAACAATCATTTTTCTTAGGCCCCCACCAGTTTTTAACCCATGCTACACATCAGCATCAGCTGGGTGGCTTCAGGAAATATTCATGCACAGACCCGACCCTGATATTTTGATACAACTGGTTTGGCTGTAGCACAGAATGGAATTCTTTTTAAAGATCCCCAGGTGATTCTAATAGGTAGCTAAGGTTGAGAACTATTGTCTCCTTAGGGATCAGCAAACATTTTTTTTGGAAAAGGGCAAGATAGTACACAATCTGGGCTGGTGGGCCACAAGGTCTCTGTTACAACCGTGAAACTCCGCTGTTACAGCACAAAAGCAGCCGCAGACAATATGTGAATAATGGGGTGACTGAATGTGTTCCAATAAAACTTTATTCACAAAACAGGCAGTAGGCCCTATTTGGTCCATGGGCCACAGTTTACCTGCCCCTGGTCATTAGAGTATTTCCTCCTCCCTTTCCCAAAACGACTATTCCAAGCATTCGCCTAAGCCATCCCCATGCCTCTGATTCCAGCAGGCAGCCTCTCATTCTGCTCAGTGGGAAAATACAGATCATCCGCCTGGAAACCCTTCCAGTCCCTCGCCCATCGCCCGCAGACTTACTGCACCTCCACCGCCTCTGTCCCCATCTCTTTGCCTCCTATTGCAGCCGTGACCCTTCTTTTCAAAGTGAGCCTAATCCTTCCAGTTGTGCTCAATTCCGTCACCCTTCCCGACTCCTCTGGGGCCCCACTCCATAAAGGATCCCGTTTCATATGTCTTTAAGTTTTCCCTCCCTACTGGCGCTTTCCCTTCAGCTAATAAATATATTCAAGTGTCTTAAGCAAAGAGCCACCAGAGCCTTCGGCAATCTTGTGCCCTCCCCATACTCACCCACAGCTCCCCTTCCCTTAGCAATTCTACGCCTACGGCCTCTACTTCCTCTCTTCCCATTTGCTCACTCCCTAAGCCACTAATCTGGCTTCTGTCTCCACCGAAAGTGCTCTTGTCAAGGTCACTGAAGACCTTCATATGGATAGAACAAGTTCTTGTTTCACTTGTTTTCTCTAAAGCACTTGGCATTGCTGATTGTTCTGAAAACTCTCTCTCTGTTCAGCTTTTGCAATACCATGATATCTGCCACAATGAGTTCGGCTGCTGCTGGCCAGTCCATGCTGGTATTCCCTAATATTATAAATAATCTTTTCTTCTTATGTTACATATTCTGTGAACTATTCTCATGGCACCAACCACCACCTCCTACATGTGACAATAACTCCCACTTTTTATCTCTGCCTCACATCTCTTTCTCAAGCTATGGTTTGTACTCAGGTATCTTTTTTCCCAATTCTGCCCCTTTTCTTTTGTTCTTCATCTTGGTTAATAACTTCACCATTAACCCAACTGCCAAAGGTGAAATTCTCCCTCTCCCTCAGGACCCCTACTAATCTACTATTGTGCAAAATTAAAAAAAAAAATCTTTACCTGAAGATATTTTATTTTCATATGTGCGGTGAGTGGCCACCATACATATTCAACCATCCATGGTAGTCCTGTTTTCCCTCCAAATCTAATCGGCCACTAAATTCTGATGATTCTACCTCTAAAATAGCTTCTGAATCCATCTCCTTTCAGCTTTTGCCCCTGCAAATGCTTTAAGGTAGTCGTCTGTCATCCCTCACCAAGATTATTTTCAATAACTTTCTAACATTTGTTTTACTTGCCCACATTAGTAGCTCCTACTTCACTCTCTTACTTTGCTTCCTCCTTAGGTCACTGTGCAATCCTATCTTCTCTTTGCTAAGTGGCAGCTAACAACTGCATACGGCCCTTCAGCAGCAGACACCATGGTTTTATGTAAGGGAAGACTGATCCTTCCTTGTCCGAATGAAGCATTACATTCATTTAGCTTTTTGGTCACAGGGACACAAGTCGTTGAAGTCATTAAAATAGACTCTATCCTAAGAGAGTCTGAGCACCACACTTTAAATACATAGTTTCTTTTCCTTAATATCAAGTGCATACTGAAGGTTCCTTTTCCTTAATAGAAAATGCACGCAGCAGCCTACACTTGCTGCCTGCTGGCTGCCCAACATGGAAAGGAATCTCGTCAATCCACAGGGTTACTGGGCAGCCCTCCTCAGAAATGAGCCCACATTGGCTTTTGCACGTTTGTTAGAATAACGGTCCATTTGAATGGTAGGCTATACATTTTTTGTTTTATTTTATTATTTCATTTTATATTTTCCATCACCCTTTATCCCCTCTATGCCCTCTTCCCCTCCCCCCACACTCTTGTCCATGTCCATGAGTTCTCTCTCTCTCTTTTTTTCTTTTTTGCTCAATCCCTCCACCAGCAGCCCACCCTACCAGAGCTGTCTGCCTGCTCTCTGTCTATGAGTCTGTCTCTATTTTGCTTGGTAGTTCGGTTTGTTCATTAAATTCCATATATGAGTGAAGTCATATGGTATTTATTATGCTAAGTGAAAAAAGCCAGTCAGAGAAAGGTAGGCTATACATTTTTAATATCAGTTCCCTAAAGGTAATACTGAATGTCCTAAATTTCCTGAATGAGGGAAACTGACATATTACCTAACTTAAATGACATTTTTTTTCATTCTAACATAAATATTATTTCCATTAAAAACAAAACAAAACACCTATTGTAACAAGAATAAAAAATGTCAACTTTTCTCATCATGGCACTATAATGGTGACCACAACTCAGTGAAATTATTTCCTGGAAATTATTTCCTATGCTATCTGGTATTTATCTTCTCAAAAGTATGCCCAGTATATTACATTTCCTTCCCATGCCTAAATAGTAGTTTCAGAAATCAGTCATTTATTTATTAAAAACCTACCTTTGCATCTGGTCCCGTTGAGGTAGTCTGTTGATCTGAATGAGTTCAACTAAAATCCTTCATTATTAAGTTATCTTACCTTGAGGCACAAATCTGAAAAGTAAATCCCCTTTCCTATCTTTTATAATAATAGTAATGTATTAATAAAGTGACATATTTCATGAAGTTTGCAATAAATCCAAATCTTTCATTTGTAAAAAGAATAAAACCCCTGCATTTATTAAACAATAAGACAGTTAAAATGGCCTGATAGGAATACTGATAGTGACCAGGCTTTGAGGATTATGCTGATAATTAATATTTTATCATAATACAAAATAGACTACCCAGTTCACCAAATGAATGGGCCCTTTATATTCTTGCTCTTCTCCAACCTCTCTCTCCCATCTTGCCCTCTGAAAAACAGGGTTAGGGCACACTTTCCTTCCATGTCTTCCGAGAGTCTCTCTATATACCTGACTTTGAAATAAATTCTGGGAACATGAGAGAGCAAGAGTAGCTAAAGGTGACTACTTTTGCAGTTGGAGGAATAGATTTCTATGGTCATGGTAATAGCCTCCTTCAAGGTTATCTAGTCGAAGTTTTGCAAGAAATTTCTCCATTTTTAACATCTCAGCCTTTTTTTAAAAAATACATGAAATTCAAAACAAAGGTTAAAAATATTCATATCTTAAGTGGTCTCCTGTAATTTGTAACCAGATCTACTGATAAGAATAAAATCCTAAACCTGGTGTTGTTCCATTTCGTCTATATTTAAATGTTAAAAAACCCCCCCAAAAACCCAAACCCCTTAAATCTTAATTTGGCCCCATGTTCCCAATATTGAATTGTTGTCTACAATGTTTATAAATTTCTTGGAAAAAGTTCCATTTTTTACTCTGTTCATTACAAACTTGTAAGAAAAAGGTAAGCAGAAAACTGTCCTTGATGGAAAAATAGTATTTAAAGTAGACACAGCAAACATGAACTAACTGAACTGAAGATAAGAAACAGAAGCACTTCTAGAACTGTCCTTTATGTCCCAGACCTGATCTGAGAAAGAGGTCTCATTAACTTCTTGAGAAATAAACATGGATAAATACATGTTGAACTGAGTTATAGAAATGGCTTTCCCACAACTGCAAAGCAGGACAGTTACATAAAATAATAACCCAAATGCCACTGTATGCAAAAACGTTTAGTGGATCTTTGATTTTATACCAAAAATGTTAGCTTCAAAGATTAATTAGAAATAAATATCATTTTCACTGGGAGTTAAGTTCTCCTTTCAAATGAGGTTTTTCCATCAAGAACATTCTTTCGTCCATCACAGAAAGCTGCCATAACATATATGCAGTATATTTTATTTCATGTCAGATAAAAACTATAACAGTTAAAACACGAGCTCAGTGAAAGGCTTACCGAGGTGTACAGGTATCCCTCGCTGTTCATTGCTAAATACAGCTTGGTTTGAACTCCTTGAATAGCCACCACTCGAAGTCCCACAGGGATGAGATTAAACAGAGCTGAAATCAAAAAGAATGTGAAAACAATGTTATATTCTGAATTCCACAGATTTCAAAGTTTCCAAAAGCAGGATCTGGTCCTGCAAAAGAGATGTGTGCTTGGTAAGAAAAGACAGACACTATATTTATTTACGCACATACAGATATAGTGTCTCTTCCACCCTTTAGGATATTTGACTCACGGTTGCAGTCACATAACTGGGACTATAAGCACATATACTCAAACACCCTGGAGAAAATGGAAGACAATTCCATGGTTTACATAGTGTTGAAGGTGGGGAATCATAAGTCTTCTGGAGAGATCCAGTTCCAGAAATTGGTCTATATATTAAATAGCTTTATCCTCAACAAATGAAGGTTTTAATCTGCTCCTTAGACAATTGTTGAAATTCACAGAGGCAGTTACAATATAACACGTGGGGAGAAATTCCTAGAATCTTAGAAAAGACACTAGTCCAATTCTCTCATCTAAATTATATTATTTCCATTGCAACAACCCAAAAATAAATCCAGGCCTTGAAAAAAAAAAAAAAAAGGCATTTTTGTACTCATGTTCCCAGAGTAGTATTTCTTAAAGAACCAACATTTTCCAAGATAGGGTTGAGAGGGGTCTTAGCTTTTAATCTCTAGGAGCAAAGCTTATAGGAATAAAGATAATGAACTTGATGGGTTGATTTCTTTTTAATTAATTAATTTTTGCAAAACAGTTGTAAGTGGGCAGCCAGCTAATGCCAAAGAGGCCTTCATCTCTCCATTTTAAGGTTTGACTGTGTGAAACTTACACCCAGGCTCTCCTCACAATCATACACCACTCACTGGAGAAAACCAGTGGGCGTCCTCCCCCTACCAGCTGTCTCCTCCCTCCTACACCCTGAATAAAAATAAAACAGTACATTTTTAAAGTGTAGTGCTTGCCACACACATCTTTTGAAAAGAGTCTATGCACCTTTCTCTCAAGAGACCTAGACCAATGTTGATGATTTTTGTTTTGGTGAAGAAGATAAATCAGTCTGCTATCATTTCTGTGAACAAGAATATATAAAGGAGTCACCTCACGGGTAAGAATGGTTTTTCTGAGATCTCTTATCTTGGTGCATATAGATTCTGCTGCAGTAGATGGGGTTATATGGATGATAAATATTAAGGAACAGCTAAATATTCTTCGGTGAGCCTACAATGTATCTTCCCTTAAAATCAGGGCGCTACCAAAGAGAAGCTAGGACATGCTGTACAGTTCAAAAGCAAGTTTTCCTACCACATGTCCCTGATGGCACTTCATTCAATACTCATCATATTAAAGCTGTGCCCTTCTGTTATGTGAGGTAAAGCAAAGTAATTTGCACAGATTGCGAGCCAGGATCTCATGCTATATTTGACAATGCAATGCACAGGAAAGAACGCGGAGATCTTTGAGCGCGTCATGTATACATCTCTTTCTGCTGACGATGCCTCGCTCAGGGCAGGCGCTCGCACACATCTGTGGACTGCTAGCAATGTACATGGTAAAACAGGATAATATTGGATTTTTGCAAAGTAATAGATCACAATCCCATTACATAAAAGTTAATAGTTTAAGAATTCTGAGATCTAAAAAACCAAAGTAAACCAAACCAAAACCTCCATATGGGTCTAGTTTAAAAGCCATACCGCTAGCCCGGCCGGGCGTGGCTCAGCGGTTGAGCGTCGACCTAGGATCCAGGCGATCGGGGCTCGATTCCCGGTCAGGGCACAGGCCCGGGATGCGGGTTCGATCAATGACTCTCTCATCATTGATGTTTCTATCTCTCTCTCTCTCTCCCTCTCCATTCCTCTCTCTGAAATCAATAAAGATATATTTTTAAAAAAATAAAATAAAAGCCATACCACTAGACAACTAGACAACCAGCATTTGTCTTAATCCTAGCTCAGTCATACTAAAAGATGACAGAGTATGATAAATGGAATCCAGAACTGCTTATACAGCTCCACGTTTTACAATATTCTGAATCTCCCTAGTTCTCTTAATGCAGCTTATAACAAGTAAAGAGAGATTGATTTCTCACTGTGTACCCCGACTACTTTCTGATGTGGGTTTTAATGAGCAGTAGAATGCTTAAACTCCAAACATCAGAGAGCAGAAAGAAGAGATGCAAAGAACAGTAATTGCATTGTGAATAATGTTATTAACTATATAGTAGAACCTGAATTTCTCACTTTGTAGCATAAATTTCTGTGAAGCCTGATTCAAAAACAAAAATCACCACTCAAACAAAATATTGAAGACAGTAAGAAAAGCACAGAATGGCTGGTCATACGACTCCAATCTTTTCTTTAGACATTCAAGATAGATCATAAACTGGGTTGGTTTAAAGTCTGTCTAAAGGGACTGTTTCCGGATAAAAATGCCAAGAAATTTTATTATGGGTGAGCTTGGACAGAATCAATATCTTTCTTTATGCCTTTATTACTCTAAATTTGGAGTACTTCTTCATGGATTTAAAATATTATTTTGATTAGGATAAACCTATTCTAAATATGAGAAGGGAATAATTGATTTCATTTGTGTATGTAAAACACATTCATTAAATACCTAAATTCCATTTTCATCAAAGTTTTGAAGAAGCTTTTAATAAATAAAAGGGCCTGTGTTTCATGTTTGTTCTGCTGTGTCTACATAAAAACAACTAAACGCCTTGTACCTTGCAGGGACCAGTTTCTCGGACATGTGCACACAGTCGGCACTCAGTGCTTCTGAAACCGACAATGATCCTTTTTCATCAGTTTGGCTAAGGTCAATTTCTCAAAGGGAGTAGTTAATAAAAATACATCTTAATGAAGACTGGAAAAACCTGATATGTTGAACTGGCAATACTACTGTAGGCTTGAAGGGAAAGTTGCCTATTCCATGCATAAAGCTCTCACTGCACCCAAGGCAGATACAATAAAACTGATGCCAGGCAATGTCTATCATCTTTTCCTTTTCAGGGAGAAATGCATAACTTACAATGGCTGATTCGCTTATGATGAGATTGCATTGGATGGACATTTATCATGGAATAAATCTACCTGGGGTCATCTTAAATACATAATACCAAACATATGTTTTTAGAAATAAATGTACCTGGGTAAATGTGAACTGATCTGTTTTATCATCATCTTGCTTACCAGGTCAGAATTAAATATGATAATGCTAAATGAGAAAAGTATGATTAAAAATACTAAAAATTAGAAAAATATAAACATAATACCAGGAATCTATAATAAGGAAATCTAGGAACACATATTAAGGAAATAATATATAAATGAAAGAGTGATAGTTGAAAAAAACAAAACCTTTTCCCCTGTTCTGCTCACTTAAAATAATTAAGTAATGAATGCCCCGAAATTTGCTTGGCTTTAGGGGGAAAATTGTGCACGGCTAGACTTCCATTTTAATGATCCGTTTAATCATTAAACATTCATGTTTCACTATGACTTATACCCTACAGTATCCTCAATTGGGAAGATAAACTAGCTCCCTGGCCTCTGGTCACACTTATCATCAGGGGTAGAGTCAAGCCCCATGGACTTGCTATTTGTTTTGAGATACTTTTCATTTGTGTGCTTCATTTATAAGACAACCAAAGGCAGAAGCTACACATATGGAGGAATTGAAGAGTAAAACCTACTATGTGATTTAAAGCGACATAGTAAGAAATGTAGTCTTGATTTACATACATATATGTATGTATGCATGTATATGTATGTGTGTATATGAATATATATGCATGTATATCCTAAAATGACTACATACAGTGTGATCTTAATGTATTTGGCACATTGCTGTTTATAAGGCACGGCAAATGAATTGTCTTTCTTTTTCCTTTTCAGAAAACACATGTGAGCACTGGACCCCAAACCAATTTTCCTCTGATTTTGATCTGGAATAGATATTAAAAATAAATAGGGGAAAAGTTGACTGTGTGAGGCTCATTAGTAGCTACCGTAATCATAAATTTCCTTTCAATAACACCCAAAGGATCCATTTTGCTGAGGTACTTTTAAAAACAGCACCTTACATCCCCAAATTCCTTCCCCACATAATGATTTGTACATATTGATTTATGGGAATGTCTTATTACTGATCCTCATGTACTACTGTTATATAATTACAGTAAAACCCTCTAGTTACACTTGACTAAATTTTTTTCAAATACAAGAGCATACATAAAAGAATGTCTAGTATACTTTAATATCACAACAGTAACATTGCATTTTGCAAAACAGTGAAGAACCATTCAGTATGAATATTTTTCATGCTAGGTACCAAAAGATCTTTCTTCAAGGGTAATTAAAGGTTACTTCCTCTTGAAGTCATAGCTTGGTCATCAGCCCAGGAAGCATTCTTAACAGGTGTGAAACTTTTAACATTTAACTTTGGGACCCTAGTCTATGGCTTTGCTGTCTGTAGCCAAGTATCTGTAGCAGAAGCCTCATTAGCATTCAGACCAGCTTTCTTGGGCTGTTTTTAGCTGACAGTGGGAATATTTCTGGGAAATTATCAGTCTGAGGAAATGCAATATAAATTAGGGAAAAAGAAGAATCAATTGTCAAAACTAGATGTTTTAGTCTTGTGGAAATTTTAATAGATCTGCAGAAATCTGTAAATTGTAAGAAAATACCAATTACTGTCACTGAAGAAAGAGCTTCACTATTTGTGAGTTTATGTTTGTATTACTCCAAATAAATAAAGCATATATAATAAAATATTATGTGACATCTTGGAATCATCTTACTTCAATAATTAGATATAAAATTGACTTTATTTTTGACATGTTTCCTTTTTAGGTTCACCATTATGATCTCCAATTTTGTCTTTACTTAACCCATGGTTAAAAATAAAGCACTAAAATAAATCTTTTTACCCACCTGTGGAGCTATCTCAATGTTAAAATCCCAGTTAGTCTCAGAGTTATCAGTGTGTGTGGAGGGAAAAACAGAAATAAAAGCTTGTAATGATGAATTCTCATGACGTGAAACCAGCCCTCTCTCCTGGGATAGACCAGTTTTTAAGAGTAGAAATAACATGCTATTTCAAGATCAGTGCGTGGGCGAGTAAATTTTCTGTGGGGAAAATAGTAATAAAATCCAATGGACAGTCATAAATCTATCCAGATTACCATGGAGATGACATTTGGATTGTTTTTCAGATGGTGCCAGCATTATTTGCTATAGTTCACTATTTTAGATACTTTCAGGTTCAACTTCCTTTAGGTTAACCTGCATAAATAGGATTATGTAGTATTGACTGTATTTTGTATGGTCTTCAGGATTTAGCAAGGGTTGTTTATTTAAAAAAATAAGGAAAGAAAGAACAATGTCAACAACATGCTGAGATATACTAATTTGTTTTGCAATCACTTACTGTAAGTGCTCTCCTCATCTTTTGTGCCATCGATGGTTCCATCTGCCTGCAGCTGCAAGTGGAAGCCCTGTCGGCTGTACAGTTTGGTAACTATACCCTTAAGTTGAGGCTCTGTAAAGAGAACGATGGTTTGGATCAATTGTTAAGTTGTGAAAAGACTCAGAATTCAAACCTGATTTCTACTTTGTAACATTGGTAAAGCCCTAAAGCTTCTGACAGCAGCCACAGCTTCTGATAGGTTGTTCTTTGATTTCCAGACTGGTCTTCTATCTCACTGAGCATTTGGAATGGGCTGGCAAATGGCATATTCTGCCTTTTAAGAATGGGCCACTTTTCATGCGGAAGGAAAATAAGAAGTACAAAGATAGTTCAGAATGGTTTGCCAACCAGGGACCAAAAAAACCACACTAGTAAAGATTTCCCTCAGAATATGGCAATTTGAATAAACAGCCCCCTCCATTCTAAGAAAGTTGAAATACATAAATAATCTGCAAGCCCATCAAAGGACTTATATTTAGAAAACTGAGCTGTGATACAAAAAAAGGAGGAGGGGAGAATAAAGCAGCCATTACCATACCCTAGCATATTAATTACCCTTAGGAAAAATGGGTGCAAAAGACCAGAGATACATTGGTGGGGAGGAAAGAAAATTAGTTCATACATATTTTCAGAAATATCAGAAATGATTATCCAAAATATGTTCTCAATTAAAATGATTTTTAATTATGAATCACCATAGATTAATAAAGTACTTAATTTACCAATAACAACCATGTTATCCAGAAGTTGCTTATATTGAATACAGACACCTGCACAGAAATAATATTTACGTGATTATTAGGACCTCATAATCATGCTTTGCAACTGCTTAAGCCTTTTTAAAATAATCCTAATTTACAGCTAATGCCTTAAAAAACTCGGAGCCAACAGAAAATGTACGTTTGCATTTCCATTCCAGGGTGTGTAGAATTCATAAATAGAGAAATAACAGATTGATGAATAAGTCTGAAATTCTGCAGTACTCACCTAGTTAAAAGCAAAAAAGCAGAACGGATTCGTTTGGTTAAGAGTCACCAGATAAGCTGCAGGTTCGCCTGAAGATCTACCTTGACGCAACCTGACACCGTGAGCTGCGTGAATTTCCCCTGACACCAGAATGTTGCTGCTCTGATCACTGAACAGGTTCAAAAGGACCCACAGTCTGCCTATGAGTTTATATTCTCTTCAGTCCTGCATTTTAGTAGCAAGTAACCACAGTTTTACTATTCTAACCAGATCACTAAGCTCTTTGACAAAAGGATCTAGGGATACACTCCCCTCTCTCCAGCAAATATTTCAAAGCTGCACCACAAGTCAAGTCTGTCCCCCCATCAGCTTAAAAGTGATCAAAGAAACAGAATGCCTAGACGGCGGAAAGCCACGGAAGCTGGAGGGAAGGGTCAGGCTGGTAAGAATAAAGGCAGGGAGGGATTCCCTGGGTTCTCCCGGGTGGGGGTGGGGG